TTTAATGGACAATTTCAATAAAAAACGAAGTCAAACGGATACCAAACTTTCAACATTTTCCATAAAAAATTATACAAATCAAACACAATTAATTACAATTCTTGGTACAACAATTTCTAGGCAAATCAATTCCCTATAAAATATTTTTTTCCACCTATTTTCCACATTGGCAATCAAACGGACACTAAGAAAATTTGGGTACATTAGTTCGAAATTAATTAGTTAACATAATAAAAATTTAGTAAGCTAATTGGATCGATTTAAGGTTTAAATTAGTTAATATACATAATTAAGGAGGCCTAATTTGGTAGATTAGTACAAATGAAAACGCCATTGGGTTTAGGAGTCTATATTGCCTTATTTCACGACTTTTAAAATTAAGTAGAAACTATTTTCCCCGCCAAGCATTTGGGTTGTATTGAATTATATTTGCGCATGCACTGGCGGACTCAACTTTTGAGAATTTTTTTTTTTTAAAGTCACGTTTGGTATCGATTGAAATCTAAATTTTAATCTAAATCAAAATTAACAATTAATTTTAATAACACATTACACATTTCATGAAATCAATAACTGTTTTTTATCAAAATTTACTAAAACTTTGATTTTAATCTCCACCAAATAGGGGCAAAATCACAATAATTTTGAATTTCGATAACATGCTAATTTTAAAAATTAATTTCGATAATTTTTAATATTATTTAATTACATATTAATAAACGACATTACTATTACAGTCGTTGATTGTTGACAATCAACGCTAAAGATCCGTCCTATCTAACGTAAAATTTGGATCTGTCACTGCTTAAGAGTAAATTTTGGAGATAGTATTTATGGTTTTATTATGTATGTTATGTAGTATTTTTTATATATGTTCAAATATATAGTTTTTTTCACCACTATAAGGGATTACGTATCCAACAGAAAAATCATGAAATGCAGAATTTCAGTATGGATTTCAATTTCTTGTTATGATTTATGAAATAAAAAATAGGAATTGTGGATGAAGAAAGCCATGAACGTGATGGTATGGGAGAAATCGATTCAAGTTGACTAGTGATTTTGGACATTTTCTTCAAAGAGTAATGCTATGATTTAGGGATTTTAGTGTTCTAAAAAGCGCGCCTAGACAAGAAGCGTGATGAAAATGCTTCGCCTTGAGCCTAAACAAGAATTAAGCGGTCAACGACAATATTTACCGTTTAATGCTTGTCTAGGCCGACTAGGTGTTCCTAGGCGCGCTTTCGCCTTAAGCCTAAGCGGGAATTAAGCGTTTAACGACAATGTTGACCGTTTAATGCTCGCCTAGGCGGGCTTCCGCCTTAGGTCCAGATTTTAAAGGAGTCAATTTTTTCCCTTTTTAAAAAAAAAAAAAAAAATGAGACCCACAGCCCAGACTCAGTAGCCTACTATCCTTTCAAACTTCAAAAACTCCAGAGAACTGAGAAGACGGAAGAACGGGAAAAAAAAAAAGACGAAAGAACGGCACAAAACCTCTCAATTTCTCCTCACACCGCACTAATTTGGGTATCAGGTATGTATAAGAAATGATCAAAATAAAATAAGAGAGCTCGAGAATGATGATTTTGTATCAGACGATACGGATGACGAATTAGATGAATAAGAAGAAGAAGATATTGAATTGGAGTCCGATAAAGATTTANGTATAAATTATTAAGTAAATACAGTATTTTATAATTTTAGATATTTGGTATGTATTATTCGAATTATTGAATTTTTTTACAATGATTAAAAATTAAAAACGATTTTTTACGCCTAAGTTTAGGCTCGTAAAGCTTGAAATTTGGTCTAACCACGCTTTACGCTTTTTAGAACACTGCAAAAAAATCCGCGAGAGAGAGACGTTGGCTTATAACCCATTAAATGCAGAAAGGAAATAATGAAAAGGATTGGGGTGAGAGAGGCTCGAACTCTCGACCTCAGGATCACTCTACAGCTATGAGACCTACGCGCTAGCCAACTGCGCCACCACCCCATGCTGTTTTCTTTGGAATATTTTATATTTAGTTGAATTCCTATCAAAATCAAAAAAATAGTTCACAATAAATAATTACTTTGAAAATATATATGTAGTAGAGATATT